TGAAGACAGATCAAAGTGTATGGAGAGAGACCAACAACCATCCTACATGGAAGGGCCTGCATAATAAGTGCAGTTCATCGTGCCGTACTCCAACTTAGAAGACTCGACTAGATGTAACTACGAAGATCCACAGTTCTTCTAGAGCTTGCTTGCTCTAAATTTGTCTAAAATCCAGGATCTTTCTTTTTAAATTTCGGAGCATTTGCGGTGGTGTGAACAATAGTGATGCATTCGGCGACATGATCACTTCCTTCTGTATGTAATTTCGATTGTTGAATTGTTTTACTGTTTAAAAGCCTCTACAAAGGAAATTTTTGCCTCATTGGCAACGATTTCTAGATACGCATGGTTTTAACTGAAACAGTTTACTAGACTGGAGAAGCGCAGTGGCCAGAGACGACGTTCGACACATGTTTGCAGGTTTCATCCGATCCAGGATTCACCAAGTTTCCCAAAGAGCAAGAAGCTAGTAGCAGTTATATCTAGGAAAAGTTCACCACGATCCAAGAAGATCGGTCCAGCACAGTTTTCCTGGAATTACATGACCAATCAGTTTTCACTATTTAACGCATTACTTAATTGATAGTTGATAATTGAACGGTCCGTCCCCACTGGTTGTGCGGACCCCAACATAATCTCCATTTTTCGGAGATTTGTTAGTTAAGCCATTGTGGTTCACTGGATTCTCGAAGTCAGTCTGGCCAAAGTATGCCCCGAGTCTTCACCACCACAGGCAGTCGCAGCCCTCGTGGATCAGAAAGAGATTTGCCGCCATGCGACTTGACACCAGGACGGTGGTGAATACTGGCATTAGTTTACTCTTAGCTAACCTTCCTGATGGAAACGCCGAACTCCTTCTCAACTTGAGAGACCTTGCCAAGGGCATGAATCACCCCGCTGTACATCGCAGCCCGACACCCAGGAACACCTCCCAGTCACGATGAGGCGGTAAACCGTTGGGAAGACCTCTTAAACCAAAGAGGTTAAGCGCATTTGGTGGAGAAAAAGTAGGAATTTTCAAAAATCGGCAAACTTATACGAATTTCATCTGAGTGATCATATAGAAATATAAAGAATAAGGAAAATAGAGTTTGAAACGAGCTAAGACAGACAAGTTCAAAACTGAGGGCCAGCTTGAGTTCGGCCATATGCGACGCAAATTTTCATAACTCGAGCCGTTGTCAATGTGCTAATTATGCAGGCTTCATGCTAGGTGCTGGAGAATTCGAAACTCTTAGAAGTTTGAAGCAATCAGTTGATTCAACATTGCTTCGCCTTCAGAGAGGATGTATGCACGCCAATCAACATGTAATTACTTTGCAAATATCCATAATTGTTCAGGATTTGTGATTTAATTCAAAATCACTAACGAACATTGCCTTCTGCACAGAACAACGGATATCCTTCAGCTAAGTGAATAGGTAATGACAAGGTTAAAAGGAATGATTATCATTGATGAATAGCATATTGAACTTGAACCAAGAACAAGTATCTGCTGAAAGTGACACATTGGTGGATCCGGTACGTAGAGTCTTTGCTTCTCCAACGTCCTGTTCTTGGCGCCTAATCAATGGATATGTGAAGGTACAAGCATGGATATGTGTACATATCTACCGGTTAGTCATAAAGAATCTATAAGTAGCATTTTGATTTACTGTTTGCAACACAATCACTATACTCATCTTTGCAAAAAAGTAAATTAACTGCGAGTTTAGTTTGTCTCTCCTAAAGAGATCTACTTTTGGTAAATGATGTAATAGAAGCAGACCTTCTTTCTTTGATACTAGGAGGAGTTCTGAAATATTGCGGCATTGAGAAGGACGAAATTGTAGATACAGATAGAACCGATATGTCTTAGACGCATGAACCACGTCATTGAAAGCGTTCATAAAGCATAATGGCAGCTATGAATTTCTAGCTGGTAGCTGAGCGCTTTCTTGAAATCTTGGACATAGAAGTTTACGGTTCGAGATTTCCAACTGCATGAGTACGATCATGAAAACTAGTGTGCAGATTAGGCTTAATAATCATCTCTACCCTTTTACCTCTCTACATCTCTGCAGTTCTTTTCTCTTCAACCGTGAATAAATCGTGAATTAGATATAATGAGGATAAAAAATAAGCCTTTTTGGTAAACCCTCCACAGTATATCATCTTCTGCATAGCTGTCATTAATAAACTCAGAGCTGAAACCAGTAAAGGAATACATTTGAAGACCTTTGAATCTAGACATACACATCGAACTGGAATAAACAAGTAGGCCTGACTCCTCGAATATTTCGACTGCTCAATGTAATTTCTAAAAACAAAGCCATTCATTAACGTTGCACAGAGATTTCCTTTTACAGTGATTACAGTCATTCTTCCAAAATTCTGCAAAGAATTGAACCACTGGCTTTTTCTAAGTGAACACTGTTCATTTCGTTTTACCATCTAAGTTCAAAACACCGTACCGTGTTCGAGCAAAAAGTATCTAGCCTCAACAAAAAGAAAATCGAAACTGAGTGCCTAGAAAACCTTTAGTAGTAACCCTTGGTAAACACTGGTCAGCTTATCTCTTCAAACGATATTTACGACTGCCATCTTTAACATGACAGATGCTACACTTGACGAAAACAAGCACAGAAGGTCACATTAGCAGAGAGTAGCGCTTAATGAACGATTGCAAAGCCCAAACATTAAGAAACCCTTCGTCTAACTTGAGACGGGAGCGGCCATGAGGAATTTAACAACCAAATACTGCTGGCTTAGATGCGATTTAACAAAAAGAGATTCATACCTGATGCCTCAATAATTCGTAAGGAAAAGACCGCAAACGAATAGTTCAGCTGCCATGGCGTAGTGAAGAAATGAAATGAATGCAAAACGCAACACTTGAGATTGATGATCTTTCAAGAGCTGTTTCCGCTGCCTTAATATATACCACAGAAAGAGGAGCATTACATCCAAGTGCTACTAATGCCATTTTATCTTAATCGCTGCAATCAAGTGAACAAATATGATGAACCTATCCATTGACCTAGACTTCACTATTGAAGACGCTGCTGCACTGGTCAAAAGAGAAGGATCCTAGCCTGCATAGAAGCTCAAGTGGAACTTACCGAGAAAGGTTCTGAAATCTCGGTTACTATACGATATTAAAGGAACAAAATAAGAAATCTTCCGAATGAGGCTATTTCATTCACGCCGTTCTGCTTTCCGCTAGATTCAACTCTATGTGAATGACCCACAGCGCACAACTATAACAGCTGGCTCGAATCAGTACGATTCTAGAAAAACCAAACGCAAAGAAAAATTAGCCTAAATAAAAAGATCAATAAGTAACAGCCCCAGTTTAGTTTATCAGTACAGCAAAGTATTGCTTATACATAGAAGCGTGTAACTACAGCATAACACATTCTATGATGATCATACCCTAAGGGGTATGCGCATTCCACTCCATTCGTAGCCATAGAAGTTATGGAATACAAATCTGCCATATACAATGGCCTATCCTCCCAGGCAAGTCTAGTATTAATTCACCGAACGTTAAGGCATGAGAATCTTGCTGAGTTCGAGATGATGGATTAAGTCAACGACCATAAGTGTACTGTCGCACAGTTTTAAGCTTTCTAACGCAATAGCGGAAACTGCAAACACGGAAGATAAACTAGGTAATATCACATTTTGTCTGATGACACTGCGGTTGTTCAATTGCTTCCGTGTTCAAAATACGGCTCGTTAAACAAAAACATGAAAGAAATGCGTCATGTACTCGAGAAAATCAGAATTTCAAGTTAGTAGCATTTGGCAACTTGTATAAAGGACTGCAGACTTATAATTTTTATTGAGGTCAATATATCTCAAAATAAGCTGACATATGCTGATTTAAAATAGAAAGTACCTACTATTTTCGTATCGTATGACTCCATACCTCCCAACGGTTTACCGCCTCATTGTGGCTGGGAGGTGTTCCTGGGTATCTGGCTGCGGTGTACAGCGAGAGGATTCATCCCCTGACAGGGTCTCCCAAGCTGAGGAGTCCGGCGTTTCCATCAGGAAGCTCAGCTAAGAGTAAACCAATACTAGGATCCACCACCGTTCTGGTATCAAAGCCGTATGGTGGTAAATCTCCCTGATCCACAAGGACTGCGATTGGCTGTGGTGGTGAAGACCTGGGCCAGACTTCTGGCCAAGCTGTTCTTGGGACACCAGGAAACCATAATAGCTAAACGGCAAATCTCCGGAGAATGGAAATTATGCTGGAGTCCGCACAACCAGTGAAGACGGGCCATCCAAATATCCAAGTATCCAAATGTGACTCTCACAGAGGTCACATAGCAGTGTAAATGTTAAAACGTGGCGGCGACTACGACTCTGAATGTATTCAAGAGCTAATTGTTTACAGTGATACTATCTGCGTTGATGCATAGAAAAACCGACTACGGATCAAAATACGAAAACAGTTGCAAACATCTGTTTTAATACTTTTGAAATTTGCACTTTTAATACTGCCATGTGAAAATACTGGAAGAAAAATGCGCAATAGCTAAACTTAGCCAGCACGACAATAGTCTAAAAGTTCCATTTGCAAGATATGTGTTCCAAAAAGCGCAAGCAACGCTACACAAGAATAAGTCCATCATCAAAAAAGGACCAGCAGGTTTCATACAAAATGTGGGTCCTATTAGGAATATTCGGCACGGTATTTTCTTTTTGCCACATCAACTTTAAAACGTGTTGCAAAACATACGACCGCATCATTTGACTTCTTTTGATCCACTAGAAAGTTCTCGATGACGGTATTTGTGCTCTTATAACGGAAAATTTGATGTTTTATAGTAGAAGCTTTGACAGTCAATATGATCTGAGAATTTGAGGTAAACCCTGTGTTCTCGGGCTCACCTCTTCTTTATCATGTGGCACTGCTGATTCTTTATAATTGAACCATGCATTTTCAATTTCTTAGTGCGACAGCTTAAATGTTCCTACTGATAAGCGGTAATTAATTGTTTTCAGGCATGAACCTCTCTCTCTTTCTATTGATAGGGACGGTTATGATAGCTGTAGCTCCGCCACCGCAAAGAGTTCAATCAGATAAAGAAGCTCTTCGATACCAACAGGTATTTCTTACTAGTGGGCACGTGTGGCGCAGTGGTTGGAGGCGCCATGCAATACGCATGGGATTGACTCTCGCGCGCCTTTCCCACCAAGCCTTCCGTTATTCTGGAGTCGGCAAACTGGTACTAGAGTTGTCTGGGCGATGCTTAATGAAGTCGAATGCATGGCGCATTCCTAAAAAATTGATCAACGTCAAGAGCTTTATTCTTTTTTTATTTTATATCTTAGTTGACCTGCTTGCGAATCTTTGTTCCACAATGTACACTATTCGAATTTCCTTACATAGACTCTAGAAAACATTTGGGTCTTGTCATATTCAACTTCAACACTTTCAGGGTTCGAATACTAACTCCAATCATGATGCTGGTCCTAATTCAAATGGAAACAATGGACAGAAACCGGTTTGTCCCTTGATGACCAAATATGTTTGAAATAGTTTCACTGCTCACATGACGTACATTCTTCAGTTATATGAGTTCACCTACTCCAGATACCTTGAAGAAGTTGTGAGTATTCTTGAAAGTGATCCAAAATTTTCTGAGAGATTACGTGGAATGCCCGAGGCCGATGTCAAGGTAACTTCATCGTGTTGTTTCGTTCTTCTACTTTTTGATCAGACGATTAGATCAGGCTGGCAATATCGCTGATCATATTGACGATCTTGATAATCACATCTTCGACAAATTAACGAAGGCAAAACTTGATGAGATTGAACGACTAAGAAAACTGATTCAGGAACAGATTAAGGTAAATCTTAGTCCCATAGGTTATTGTGGTCCGTAAGAAGTACCTCTAAGTAATTTTACCAAAGGCTGATGGCGGAGCGCATAATGTAAAAATGCCTGAACATCTAGATGTTACCAACTGGGAGAGATTCGGTAAAGAGGATCTGCGAAAACTGATTCGTCGCGTAAGTGCCGTTCATTTTGTTTTTTTATTTTTTCTATTGAGTAGCTTGTTCTAATGGTTTACTGCCTAATCATGGCCCGGAGGTGTTCTTGGGTGTCGGGCTGCGATATACAGCGAAAGGATTCGTCCCCCTCCCCTTCCTAGCAGTCTCCCACCCAAGCTGGAAAGGAACCCGGCGTTTCCATCAGGAATCTCAGCTAAGAGTAAACCAAGAGTAGGATCCACCACTGTCATGGTATCAAACTAGTCGCGTGGTGGCAAATCTCCCTCTGTTCCACAAGGGCAGCGATTGCCTGTGGTAGTGAGGACCTGGAGCAGACGTTCGCCAGGGTCCATTCAGGACTTCAGGGAACTACAATGGCTGAGCCAACAAAACTCTAAAAAATGGAAATTATTCTGGGGACCATGCAACTGGCGAGGACGGGCCATCCAAGTATTCAAGTAAGTAATGGGTAACTGGGCGGTTCAAGTACGTTCGCTATGCTTTTAGACTGTGCAGGATATGGATGCTATAGATAGAGAGCGTAAGAAGGATTTCAAAGAATACGAAATGCGAAAGAAAGCTGAAGAGGATCACAAATTGGCTCAAATGAGTGAGGAGGTAAGAAGAAGGTCAAGCCACTTTTGAGCTATTTGGAGTCATTGTTCATCGAAATATGTTATTTGTTGTGTACCAGTGGAATTTATGTAGTTCTTGTATGCCTTATACTAATAATTTTATTGTAGCGACTTCTTGTGCTTACAAATAACATCCTAAGATGTTCAGGAACGACGAAAAGCAGAGTACGAAGCTGAAGAGGCGAAACGGCGGCATAACGACCATGAGAAATTGAAGCATCCAGGAAGTCGAGACCAACTAGAGGAAGTTTGGGAGGAGTCAGATCATGTTAGTGTGCTTCTTTCTTTAAAACTACATTCATTTGAATGTTCGCTCATTGCAAATACCGCAGTTGTAACGTTATTACTGTTGTGTAGAAACTGCTGGTTTTCTTTTAGCCCATTTAGTTACAGATGGAGAAGGATGCATTTGACCCACGAACATTCTTTGCTCTTCACGATTTAAACGGTGATGGTTTTTGGAACGAAGACGAGCTGGAAGCTCTGTTCCAGGTGGAACTTGGAAAAGTGTATAATGATTCAAATCCTGATGACGATCCCAGGGAACGGTATTTTAGTAAACATCTCAAGTTTAAAACAGGATTTCCGTCTTGAGGATTTGGCATTTTTATTCAGAATGGAGGAAATGTATCGAATGCGGGAGCATGTGACGAAGCAGATGGATAAAAATGGTGATCGCCTTATTTCTCTTGACGAATTCCTCAACGTGAGAGTTTCTTGATCCCTTTTGATTATAAAAACTAAACTTGTTTAACTATTTGACAAGTTTTGGTAGTTCTTCAACAACTGCCGGTTACTTATTGGTCACTCGAGTTAGAGGCCATAAGGGCAGACTTTAAATAACACTTCACTTTGTAGCCCTTGTTATGTCCAGGCTGTTTGAAATGCTGATCAGTTTATTTATGTTGAAATTGAACTGGTTAAGAATGACAGTATTGGCATGACAATCGCTAATATAAATGATACCTTTTGGAGCATCATTATACGCTTCATGACGAATGCAATCTTGTTCAGTTACTTTGCAGTTCGAGTTACAGTCCTTAGTGAAAAAAGCAGCATTTAGTCGTGGTGAAATAACTATAATATGCTCTTTTATGCTTTGTATGTACTTATGCTTTGTACATGTATGCTATTGGTGGAAATGTGTAGTTTCCTCTCTCTCCTCCCTCTCTTTAAATTTATAAGGTCGCGCTCTGGAATGTCTGTTTCAAGTACGCATTGTCCAGATCTGGGCCACACATCATTCTGTTAGAGTTGTTGTTTTGTTTTAGGATACAGAGGCTCAGACATCTAATGTGGATCCCGGTTGGAAAGATCTCGGTGATAATCAAGTGGAGTATTATCTATTCATTTATATTTATTCCACTTATTTATTTGGGTTGACTACAAGATATTTGTCAAATGTTTTAGGTTTACACTGAAGACGAGTTGCGTGAGTTCGAGAAAGAATACGCAAAGAAACAAGGTAAATCATTTCCACGTCCGACTTTCTATTAACCTCGGCATTGGTCGAATAATTCTTTCTACAGCACACACGGGATGTTACTTTATTTCTTTATTTGCGTACAGGCTGACGTTTCGGCGGATTTCGCCTTCCTCAGAGCCTGGAAAGCTCAAGTAAAAAAAATCGTCATTAAAAAATCATTTCATTCTTACTTTGACTTCTCAATTTTGATTTACGTTTCTGTTTCGCGGGTTATTCATATTTTCACATATTTTGTTTTCAACTGCCGTCATTCATTAATGTATTTGTCCTCCTTTCTGCTCCTGTTAATCATCAAGTGATTCGAGCACCGACCAATAAGATCTCCATTACTCTAGACTTATGTCAAAGCTTCGTGGTCACTGCATGCTTGAAGGACACACTGAACATTGCATTTTTGCTATGAAACTTCCATTTCTGTTTCTGACGAAAATTTAGCCGTAGGCAGCTCTAGCCAAACTATAGCATAACGATACTTTTAGTTGGGTGAGCTTCCAAATACTAATATGTGGTTTACATTTGTTGTAATCCTAGCTGAGAGGTGAAAGCCGCTGTGCGTTGCAGCTGGACATTTAAGCAGCAACAATATCGTCCACAAGTGGTACAGTATACCATTTGGAATGGTTTAGCACATTGGTTTTATTCTTTTTAACGCCTTCATAATGGTGTTTTTTATTTCATAATTTTAATCCTCTTTTCGAAGAATTGTGATATCTACGGAAGCTATGTGTTTTGAAAAGTCTTCATTTTGCTTTAAACGCGTGCAGCACAGTAGTTAGAGGTGCCCTGCCGACCACATGTAGCCTCTGTTTTCATCCCACAGCCTGGCTCAAGAAGCATTCCATTCCTTCGAGGTTAGTAAATTGATACCAGATTTCTTTGTGAGGATAAAAACACTGAGTTGACGCATCGGTGGGCATTTCCAATTCAATATAAACGCTAAATATGCACTCACCTCCACGAAGCTTAACACATAACCTACGAAGTGGACGTAAACGTCCGTACGCGGCACCCAGAGCTCCCGGTGTGACCTCTGTGAGGGTCATTCTTTTTCTAGTGATTCCTTTTGATTTGACCACTTTTTAAACATTTCTTGTAACCAATCGAAAGCTTATCGAACACACTTGTTGTGACTGGCATTGACTGGAGAAAACTATTCTGCACCTAGAAATATGCAAAAACCTTTTCTCGAACGAGTTCAGTGACTCGTAGATTAATTGGTATTTAAATGTTATTTCACTTCTAATCACTGTGATGAATCTTGGCTATTGTATGGAACGTACGGATAAAAAATTAGCGAAATAAACTGGGCATAAGCTAGAGTACACTTCCAGATGTCGACAACAATTCGTTTGTGGGATGAAACATGGTAGCGTACATACCATTCATGCCCTTAGAACTGTAGAGGAAAGTTTCCCCTACAATCCTGTCATGAACATAGCAAGTCTCAATTTCTGTAATTATTGGAATGTTATCGTTTATTGTCAAAAAGAAAAGAAAGAGGAACTCTATGAAGATTGAAAATTAGGTTTTGTTCCAGGCCGCAGCCCCGTAGGCCACGAGTCCGTTTTTTTTTTAAAAAGTCCAGTCAGTAGCGCATCTCATAGAGATTGTTCAACGCCGAACATTTTATGATTTTATTTGCTTTAAACGTCGTGACAACATGTAGTTGCAAATTCGTTTACCATAGTATTTAACCCGGTTAGTTGTTTTTGGACAAGAATCATTGCGTAATTGGTATTGGTGTGAAACTTCTTCCATTTTTTCATATCTTTTTTCCATTTATGAACGCAAGCCATCCATGTGTTTAGGCACTAAAGGCTTCCTTGAACCGAAAGAAGCAGCTTATAGTGGGGAAAAAGTAGAAGGATAAAGGATGAAGCGTTCGTGGTTCAATTCTTGAGGGATACGCAACGCCTTCGAATTCATTAAGCACAAACAGAATGATTGAATGTCGATTTTACCTAAGCAATGACTTGCCATTGTGTATCAAGTCACTGCTTGTATCCTTTGAAAGAAGTGTGGTACAAATCTGTCGACCCGGAATGGATGGAAGACTTGGTGAGCCCGAGGCACTGTATCGAAGCAACGACACGTGTGTCACCAGACACTTCTAATCACTGCACTAACCGCCCTTCCGAAGAAAAAGTTTTGGTGAAAAATTGCTGATTTAAGATTTCTTGGCTAACTAGAGAGACGTAATTTTTCAGGCTTATTTTGTTCTTGAACTATATTGCTTTTTAAAACCGTGAATACTGCCTAGGGTGGGGAGAACATGCTTATGAAAAAGTAACCACTCTAGCTCCTCCGGTACAACAGCAACAGCAGCAACGACATTACCAGCAGCAACAACAGGGATATCCTCAGCAAACGGTATGCTTCTTATGGTTTTGCTGTGGAACTATTTCCGTGTTATTCGTATGACTGTTAACTTTTTTTGTAGGTTCATACTGGAGGACAACCTCAATACCATCAGCAAGCTGTTAACGTGAATGTAAGATTTTCTAGCAGTGTTGCATTTTTTACATTATAATTTTGATATTCTAGGCGCAGTATGACAACACAGAACAAATACAGGCTGTTCATGTGGCACAGCAGCAACAACAGGTTAGCTCTATTTACACGCCACGCATTTTTGACACAGGACTTTTCATTCATTGTTCTATCTTTGTATTTTCTTGTGTAACAATCAAAAGCTTTTTGAGGTGCCAATTCGGCACGATCCAATCGTCGAGAAACCAAAGGATCCTGCTTACGGAATCTAACTTTATGGAATCAATTACGTACTAATGCTTATTATTAGAAATTCGTTAGTAGAAACTTGTCCTCGTGGGTCTTTTCAGATGGTGAATCTCCTAATAGATTTTTTAAATAACTGCTGTATATTTTTTGTTATATGTTCAGATCATTTAAGAATCTCCTTACGGATGCTGCGCATGATTTTACTAGCATTTTGAGTTCTAATATTTTGATGGTCTGTCCTTTGTTGATGTCCTGATGGTCTTTGCATTCTACAAAAATGATCACCCTGCATCGTTCTTGCACTTTACATGACAAGTTTTGTCGCCGTATATCTCATGTGCAAATATTATTTTAACAGTAGGGTTAAGCTTGATATGCTATCTTAAGTAGGTTGTAGAGGAAGAGGAGCAGACTATGGAGATTTTTATAGTAAACACATACGCATTATATACAGAACCAACCAATTAAGAGGGTGCTCTAAGTCTGACTTTTCTAGGAGCTTAGTCTCCATTCGCATCGATGCTGGTTTTTCGAAAATCGCGAGTAATTTCTCGGTAACTATAGTTACTGAAGAACTTGAGGACTGACAAATTTGTGGAAGAAACTTTGCCAAATCACTCTAATGGCATACAATGGCATTCCTGTGAAATATTTCACTTTGTTTTGAACGAAAACGTAGGTGAGCAGGTAAAACTGCTAACGATGATTTCGCAAAATTTTTGAGGACTCACTAAATCGCTCTGTTTAGCTTCTCAGGTATAGGAGACACGAACCTGGATGGAAAGACCGGAAAAAAAGGTTGTAGATTGGAAACGACTATAATTTTGTGTCGTATATCACAACGTTTTGGAATACGAAGACATGTATTTTGCGGACATCGGTCTGTAGACTGTATTTTTATTTAATTAATAAAGTTCAGTATGAACTGAGATATGTCTGTCGAAAGTGGATATGATAAGCGTAACATATCAGTCATGTATGACTCGTTCTGTTCGCAGAGTTAAAGCACTAGCGCCAGTTAATTACATGAAAGTGAATAGTACATAATAATGGTCCAGACAAATACTAGAGAGACGTTACATACATGGGATTTAGAGGCGAGAAGGAAAAGGGAATCGATAAATGTGGAAATGAAGTCCAGTATTTGGTCGAAAGAAATATAGTGAAAGGATCATGGATGGAATACATGCATAAGGCTTGGAATAGATGAAACATTGAATCGTAGTCTGTCTCCGAACAAAGGAAGAATCTAATCACCCCGTAGATATCATGTGTCCCGATAAGTTGTCCGTATTATTAAGCGGTAGTTCTTAAGAGATCGCTAGATGAGGGGTGTGAACGGATCCTTCTAAAGAGCTGCGGCCATTGTGAGGAGCTGCCCGATGTTCTAAGTAGTAAATCTCTGAATAGAGCGCCGATATCTTCACATTTGTCGAGTTTAGGCGGAGAATGTTGTGTATTTTGTCGTTGTGTATCGCTGTAACAAAACGAGTATAGGTTTAAACAGTGATCTGTTGCACAAGAAGACATGATGTAAAACCTACCAAGCTCCTGGAGATGGCTGATTTTTGACATCAGCAGGTCGAAAACAACGGAATCCGGGAAATCATCATTGATTTTAAGTCTCAGTGCAGAAACAAGTCTGTCGTGTATACGATCCACTTCTACCTTTGAATGATAGTAGATGTTTTCTGTAAAGCGTGTTGTTGTAATATTGTGCAGAATTTTTCGTATATAAAGAAACACTATAGACATATCAGGAATACTGGTATAAAAGTCATCTTCGTCGAAGGTACAAACGCTATACTTGGTACTTGTTACTTTAATGGCCCGTCTTCACTGGTTGTACGGGCCCAGAATAATTTTCATTCTCCGGAGATTTGCTGTTTAGCCATTGTAGTTCTCTGGAGTCCCAAGAACACCTTGGTCCAGGTCGTCATAACGATAGGCAGTTGCCGCCCTTATGGATCAGAGAGAGATTTGCCACCATGCAACTGTTTTGGTAAAATGACGGTTACGGATCCTAGTATTAGTTTACTTTTAGCTGAGCTTCCTGATGGAAACGCCATACTCGTTCTCAGCCTGGGCGACCCTGCGAGGGGATGAATCGCTCACCGTATATCGCAATCCAACCACCCGTGAACACCTCCCAGCCACGATGAGACGGTAAACCGTTCGAAGGTCAGAGGCCATGCTTATCAAAAAGCATTGAATAGCGCAGTGAACGGAGTAAAACGGACTGTGGACGTCGAATGCCTTATGTTGATCAAATCATAACTGAGAACTATGAATTTTGCTTTATTTTACCTGTAGTTGTTAGGAGCACTGCAGCAAAAACTGCGACCACTTCATCACTCAGGTTTAAGCCTTTCATCGCATGAGCGAAAACCAGTAACTCATTGAGAAATTCTCCAAATATTAGGTAAAGGAATGTGAACTGCATAAAAGTGCCATCAGCGAGAAGAAGACCACGTGATGATAGTCCACGATAAGTGCGCATAAGAAAGATGCGGAAGAAGGATAACTAAATACATACTAATAATCGACGTACAGAAAAATGTTTGCGAAATTGGACGCTTACTTTTATCAATGCTTGTTGGTCACCGGAGTGAAGTGTCGGGAAACCCGGAACTCGTTTAGCAAACTCGACGGTCTTATGGATATCAGGCGTAACTTTTTCTGTGTACAGTTCCCATGCGCGCAATTGATTTAGCAACGAAGGTGGATCAGCGATAATCTGCAAATGTGTTGTGCAAAAAAGGGTACCGAGAATAACTTTGCTAATTCGCTTACAAAATCCAACATGTGTTCAGAAACTATTCGTTGCCTCTTCACAGTCATCGCAGAGAATTCCTCATGTGCTTCGTATACTGTTTGTATTAGCTGTAAATATCGAAGGTAAACAAGTGAACCTATTTTTGTAAGGAACAGAACATATGTTAAGGTAAATGTTGGCTATAAAAAAAACACTTTGTAGAAACCTGATTGAGCTCGATTTTCAAAGGTTCTGGTGATGTTGTTGACGAGACTTCCGGTTTTTCATCCGAGTCAGAGGTGTCGATGTCAGATATCTCTTTTACAGTACGTTTCGGAACACGACCGAAACGCACTGCTAGAATATAGCTTTAAACCACAGAGCTTTGAAAAAAACCTGACTAAAATTGTATAATTAAATACCCTTAATGGCTTAATTATATATTGAAAATTCCTCGTTGGAATTGGTATACTACTGTTGCATTAGTTCCACAAAATTTAAGCGACGGCCCTCCTACAGTTTTACACAGGATTTTCTTCGACAGTTCGAAAAAAACAACACCCAATATCTGACAAAAACGTTCTTAAAAAAAGAAGAACGGAAGACGAAATTTCTTTTAAGACTCCTACTCATTAGACACATACAGTAAATAAAAACCTAATGGGCAAGTAGTTAATTCCTAAATCATGCCGCTGCTTCATCGCCTCACAATAGAGAAGAGGATTTCTTGATTTCGAACTGGAGTGTTCAGTGCACAATTCTTCATCACAACAGGGTTATCAACGTGGACAGCGATTTCGAGATTTCCATCGGGAAATACAGCTAAGAATACGAACGCTAGAGCTATAAGAGTGCAAAAACCTGTTAATTCCAACTTCAATTCATTGGAAATTCTGATTCAAGTTTTTTTTGGAAAATGAAAGGGCGCTATGTAGAAGTAATACGTGACATTAGTGCAAAAGATCAAGGTCTCTTATATGAATGTATAATGTTCTGAACTTCTAAAATACTTTATTGATCGGGGCACTATCGTCAGTTTCCGCAAAATCGGTTTTGTCTGGAAAATATTAAAATACATGCACAACTTTCAAGTACGACTATGTCAGAACTCTGGATGAAATTCGAAAAGAACATCTGACTCAAAGTCTTTCACAATGAAACAAATTTTGTCCGAAACATTCCGCACTAAGCAGATAACAGTCAAAGAGAAGGATGTTATAACATAACAGTGAAAAATGACAAGTATAAATAGGAATATGGAAAGCTTGTAAAGCGACACACTAATGATCGGATTTGAAAAAAGCAAGGATTTGACTGCTTTCTTTTCTTCCTTTGCTTCATAGCGCTATCATACTGTGCACGTACGAAAATGAAATGTTCCTTTTCTGCGGTGCTTCTCTTTTGAAGTAGGAATTCGATTAAAACAATTATTAAACGTTTTCGGAACTCACAGTCTCTCGACATTCCCACAGTAATGCACTTCTTGAATCGACACGCCTGGCATCGATTCCGATTCTGTTTGTAGATTGGACACACTCCATCTCTCAAACAGCGGTACTCCATCCGTTTTTGGATACTTCGTCGAAAGAATCCCTGAAGAAGCACAACACATTCATGCTCAACACGTCGAAATAACGACGTTTGTTCTATACATCTTGCGTTTTGCAAATTAAGGATGTTACTTCCTTATTGGATCACCTTTTCCATAACTGAGTACCAAAGAGATAGAAGTGCGGTAGTGAATAAGATAAACTAATTTGGGATTTAAAGAGTGTTCTATGTAACCCATAAGTTCATAGCGATTCATGACCTGAAATTATACTCTTTATAGACACTGATATCTTTCTCTGCAAGATCTCGAGATGATTAACAGAGAGGTAGTGGACTATGCTCCCTCACGGAGTAATGAACGCTGTCCCAAAGCATGGTCATGGTTGGTCCATAGGAGGAATGCCGCCAAAAACGACAGTCTAAAAATTGTCCTGAGAGGAAGGTGGATTCAAACGACGGGCTCTGTGTCTGCACTGTGCATGATTGACTTGTACTTTCCATATATACGTAAAGAAATTCATGAATATCTGTGTAGCGATGATGATTGTTTCTCAATAGAAAGATTCGGCCGAAAGCCTGCAAGCAAATGGCTGGGAAACACATGCAGGGTTTCTCAGGGTCACCCCAACAATCAAAACATATGTTTACTCCGTGGGAGCCCGACAACCTACCTATGGCCAACATCTCACAAAAAGCAATAGAATAAACGGCCTCCTACATAGCATAGTGCACTTCGTGGATCTTGTCTGCGCACAGCCGACTGCTTACTTCTGTTATCTTCTCGTACTCGACACGGAGAAATGTATTTTATTGATAGCGGATGAGGTGAGGTAATAACTAAAAGCTGTAGGAGAAAGCAAGTGATACAGGCAGTTGATTGTCTTATTTAACATGTTCTTAATGCAGTTTCATAAGGTGACATTCGCACCTATACGATTTCAGGTTTGAATGCATCTCGGTAGATTCATCAAATCCTCCACCACCTGACGATGATTAGATGCATGCCAGTTTTACTAGTAAACAGCAAGACAGTGGATTTTCTATATCTAATACATCATACCTTGGCTCATGAATGAAAGGATGAACAACCACCTGATCACAGTAATCACTGAAAATTCTCCATCTAGTAGTCAAATAGGTTTTATGCACTTGAATGACGCTCAAATTTCTAATGAACTAAGGATTTTCCACTGAACACTAGTAACACGACGACAACCTCCATTCATTTAATACGACCGACCTATCGATCGATAATTAGCTGTAAGTCTGCGAAATTTGGCAGGCGTTAGGCGAACGGTGTGTTACGCAACCTGGACACAAGAGATAGTGATGAGATAGCATGATATCGTCGGAGAGGCAGTGACAATCAGACGAACAGCCTTATTAATTTGTCATCAGTCAGTAGTGGTGGTACTGGTTGAAGAATATTAGGTTGTTCGGGAACTGCTTTCGGATTTGTAATTTCGGTTGTTTACATATTCCTTAGCCATAGTTTCCATTGTTCGTTCTCGAACCTCCACTGCTAAACATCATTGCAGAGCTCATTCTACGCCCTTCCGCTCGCTACACTTCACACATAGTATAAACTGCCTTTGATAAATCTTAAAGGCTAGCAACATGGCAATTTTGATGAATTCACTGAATTTCAATTCAATGAATTTTGCGAATTCAAACCCTCTCTTAGCGGTGCAGTGTGGTGCAAAGCGCTAGGAACATTAGAGAGGTATGGGACTAAGAAGGTGTTAGCGAACGCGCAGTTCAATGTTATTTTGGGAATTCTCATTGTGGGAAATTCGACATTGAAGATGTAGAAGGTCACGAATGTCTTTTGGATATTAACAATGATGAATTGGAGATTTATCTGCTAGCAAATGTATGCGCAACTGTTCGAACACTTGCAGAAGAACTCGCTGTACGCATCTCAATCGTTACGAGGCATCTAGAAAAAGGTTTGAAAGTCGAAAAAGCTTGATTGACAAGTAGGCGCCGTACGAATTTGCAGCACGTCGCACTGACAACACGGGAAAGACGGAACGAGCTGGGGTCTACGCGAAAAACTCTGTCTCATTACTCGCCAGGCCTCTCTCTTACCGACTACCACTTACCTTAAGCATCAGGATAGCTTCCCGTACGAGAAATGCTTCAGAAACCAAACCGCGGCCGATGCTGCCTTTAACGGCACAATTGTCATTCGAAGTCCAGAATTTTAAGTAAACGGCATGAACAGATTTGCTTATCGTTGACAAAATGGTTAGCTTTTAATGGTTTTTATTTCGTGCGATAACATTTCTTCTCAGCTGAGACACACCACTTTAAAAATACAGGTTAAGATTTGAGATCGATTTTCGAACAACCTAATATATCGAAAAATGAGCCACTCATTAGCAAATGGCTCATCGTCGTATTCGCTATAAACTAATGAGCAAAATAAAAAACATTCCAGTGAAAAGGTACTATTGGTCATTTAGATCACCAAAATATTAACTGAAGTAGACGGTTACTCTGTATCCATTCTCCAATTTCGGAAATACACTGAGTAATGAGTCGTTTTCTTGTTTAGCAGTCGTCAACCACATGCGACTATAATCAGCTGTTCTAAACTTCCTCTTTGGAAGTCACGAAAAAAAGCGGTTCTGAAGAAGGCGATACTGCCGAAACGTCAGCTGCTGTTGTATTCTATTGTGTTTTTCTATGGAAGTAAATGTATGCTGTTTAAAAACCTCGCGATTGCTGAACAAGAAAACGATACATTCATATTCCAATGCCGAGGTTAAGAGAAAGTCGATCCTGGGAACACTGAGTAATATTACTAATTAGTATTATCAGTAGTTCAAAAAATCTCTTCTTAGGTGACCTAGTTATATTTTTAGCGTTCGGGAAATAAAACACCACTCACGAAATCGCTATGAAAGACAAGATCTCAAACGGAATGAATAGACAACAAAGGGAACAAGGAACTAGCCAGGGGCCTTTTTTAATGTTAAAATGACCACTTACTCCTCTTGCTGAGGAGGAAGAGCATGAAAGTTACTTCGAAGGTTATTTCTAGGATAAGTTTTGCAAAAGAAAAGAATTAATAATGGGGTGGGGCAAGGGAGGTAGTGGAGTGATTAGTTATGCACCAAGGTGGCAGGAAGCAAGGTGCTGGTTCGACCCCCTCCCCAATATTCTTCCTCAATCCACGTGGGTGTGAACTCCTTTGCACAGCTATTCTTAAGACAAGGAGAATCAACTTGAGCAGCATTCTACGACATCCATAAAGATGACGAAATCCCCAAGCAGCGCCAAATAACAAAAAGTGTTCGAAGACCTTTGTGGATGATGAATGCGAGGAAAAAGAATAGAATGCAAGAAATGTTGGGACCCGGGCGGTTGTGAGACATAGAAGCGCTAACGGACCATGTAGAAAATACACAATATAAGATACAACTACAAGGATTTCACATAGTACCCAGCTATGAAAAAAGGAAAAAAATGCAGTAGGGAAAAGTAATGACAAACGACGCAGTTTTTTCTCTAAATCAAAAGCTTTTCTTACCTTGCACCCCTCACAGGAAGTAACGCCATAGTGGTAGCCGCTGGCTTTATCACCGCATACTTTACATATCAGTAAAGCTTTTCCTCCCACCGGTATCACTAAACCGCTAGGTTGTGGAGATGTCCGCTCTGAATTATATCTAATGTTATACATTAGAATCAAAGTGAAAATTTAATAGAAACGACGCTTAGTTCACCTTCAAACGTTTTTTGAGTGTTTTCGCTACGTTGGGAATGTGCGTATCATTTGCATTATTAAACAACAACAAGAGGGTATAAAAAATGATTTAAGGTAATTACTCATGAAACGAAACTGGCTTTAGCCGTAGTAGAAACTTTGTTGCTTTCGTCGATTTTACCTAGAAAAAAAAAGCCGAAAGAACTAGTTTAGTGTGCTTAGGCCGGTTCGCATTCATCGTGGTTTAACAGAATGAACCAAGTTTGAACAATCATCAAATTATAACCATACGCTTCTTTCGTACAACCAGAATAATTGTTTGTCCATCTGCGGTTAGCATTTCCAGTAATCAATCAATATAGCTGTTTTTCATGTATGCGAAGGAATGGGCTGGTTGCGCAACAGGACGCGTCCCAGATTCGAGCTATTTCTCGGGTACCTCTCGCCGACGATTTATGGCACCACACAGCTCGCCAGACACCAAAGAACCACACTACTTCTATGAGAACTTCGCTAACAAAACAAGCACAAAGTGTTCATGTCTAATTGTGACAACAATCAGCTTAAAGCTGCAAGCACTAGCTGGTACTTACCACTTTGATTTACTCCGTTATCGGAAAAGGTCGTGTGAACTTGAAAGTCGGATTGCGTAGGAAAAACAGCTCGTTCTGTGAAATATGACGGTTCCTGTTTGTATGGTCGATACGGAAACGCATTCCCCTCGTCTGATAGTGGATTTGCCATCGAAGGACTGTAGAGTGATGGAGCCTGAATCGCAAAATTTACGTGATCTTGCTACGAAGAAAAAAGCAAAACTTCGTATTGTCCCATTGGGTTGCCCGATTTGAAGGCACCAACCTCATACGGTGAATAACTATGAGGAATCCAAGCTTGTGGAGGGCTGGGCTTTTCCGTTTTCACACATATCATCTGCGGAGAGTTTGACATTTGAGAAGGTCGGTAATCGGAAGAAACATCGCTTATGCTTGAATAATCATAGAAAGACGACGATACGCGCGACGAAGATGGCGAATGAGCCGAATAGCCATCAAAGCTCATACCTGGCTGTACAGTTTAAAGTTATTAACATATAAAAATTTAATATAGTTCAAGTGAAAGAGGAAGATTAAAATCACTATACAACCCGTTAAATCTTCTGACCTTTTCCCAGCATTTTACTAGAAATTAAATTAGGAAAAGTAAATAAATGAGAGAAAAAACTAGCAGAGATGTATTTCTTCCCACCAGAAAGAGTTAGAAGGTGATTGGTGTATGAGGTTGAGCTGGTATCGCACAGTATGGTCCCTGCCAAGATGGGCGGGGCAACGGTGAGCGTTGTACCCAGCAATCATTTAATGACCAAGTTTGCATAATCGCGTAACTTACTGTAACCTTTTGGATGTTGCTTAGAAACTGTTAACTAGATTTTTGTATGACACTTATCATGAAGTATTACAAATTCCATGGATGCAAAAAAAACATTTTATGTCCATTGTAGAACAACAGCATATGTTTGTGAAAACAAGAAAACAGAACATAGTACTTTAGTTCTTCGTTATTTGTGTCGAAAACAGTTTCTGCACTAACAAAATGATATGAGTGGTTGAAAGAGAAAAAAATGGAATTGAAATCATTAAAAATGGGTATTGATCACCACTATGTGATAGCGCAGGTGTGTCCGTGACAGGCGTAGCATTGCTCTTCATGTTGTTTTTGGTTATTTGTTCGTGATAAGTAAGCGCTATACCACCGACTAACCGTTCATATGAGATTCATTGTGAAAACACTCGTAAACAAAAGTGATTTTCTGATTTATGACTGATGATATATCACGTTCTCATCGAAAACTAGAAGCATCAGCATCTAGATCGTTGATTAGTTCCTTTTATAGCACCGTAATCACGATCGTCACCGTGGAACTCGTGATCATTTGTTGCACATTGCAGAAATATCACATTATTTCTAATGCTGAGTAATAATGATCGACGATTATACTTATGGTGAAATCTGATAGAGTATTACCTCTTTATGGTTTCTATTATTGTTACTGTTATTCTAGTTGCAATAATCAATGACTGCAATCGTAGACGATGGTCAGTTGAGGCGGTGTCGAGATGGACATCGATATGGTAGCCGACCTATTCGACAGTGATATCGAGTGATAAAAACGGTCTGCTGCAATTAGCGTTATCAAACCAGCACCACTGTCGGTTCTAATGACCACCAACTTCTTCTCATCAACCGAATGAATGAGCAGCAAGATATTCCATTTCCGTTACTCTGAATAGAGTAAACGCTGAAAGAAAAAAAAATGGAACACAGACAACAAGTAATGTAAGATGCGGAAGCTTAAAAATTTATTGAACTGATTCCTGATTTATAAATTTTTATCTATTACCCAATATTTGTTCCAAGGCAGGATGCTATTTGAAGTAGAACCACAATGATGCTGAGATCTTTGAAAACTCACACCCTAGGCCAGATTCGAACCCGTGTTTACTCCCACCGATGGTCCATGTGTTACCCACTTCACCTCTTAGCGCCTTTGTTTCGCCTGTCTCAGCAATTTTTTTTACCTCAACAGTGCTATAAGCAATCATTTATCAACTGGAATAATTTCGGGAACACAAATTGGCATTGAACCCAGTTAAACTGAGGCTATATTCGAAAGTAGAATGCATAACTTTTTATGTCCTTTCCCATACTTCTTAATTCACTATATTTCCAGTTTTTCATCGACGTATATTTTGCATAGTTCAAATGTTGTACTCTAATTACTATATACTATGCTTCAAGTACAAGCACAAGATGAGCGATTAATTTAAAAAAGCAGGAAAAAAAGCCATTATGTAAATTTGGTTTCACAAAGAGTTCTAGCACAGGCTGGGTTCAAATTCCATTCAGATAATAATGACCCGCATGGTGTGGTGGTGAACGCGTTAGCCGCCGGGAAGGGTAATAGCGCGTTCGTTCCCCACCGAATACACCTGCGGTCCGGAGTTTTACAAATATCTCAGCACTGTTGTGGTTCCATTCAGATATTTAATCAAGTTGATATGTATACATGAAATCACAACGATAACAATGCAAATTAGTGAAATTTTTGCTAATATAAGTTGTTTTCTCTATATGCTTTTCCATTTTTCGTTTGAATGCGGAAAGTATGTTAAAGAGTACTGATGCACAAGTATATTAAAGGACAGTTCCATTTGGTGCGTGACTACTATTGGACTTTCAGTTGTCATTTTAGAGTAGTTTTTTTAAAATCCTTGTTGTAGTCTCGTGCAAATTGTGAACAATGTGTAACATTTGTCCAAAAATCCAGGAGAGTGAAAAGCCAGGAACTAAATCTGAGCTAGCAGAACCTTCAAATAGAAAATATCGCAATGCCACATTGTTCTCTCCCTTCCATTTTTTCTCCTTTTTTCCTTCTTGCGCTCATCTTTATTTCTTCCTTCTTTCCTCACTTCCTTATTTCTTTCCCTCTATCTTTGCTCACTAACAAAATCCAATTGTCCGCATTCACGATCTGTTAACCCCATTACATGAGTATATCGGCGTCCCAAGAAAAGAAGTAGCCGCTGTTCATTGGTTATGGCCTTCCTTTGATGTCCTGTGTGTCGAACTGTTCACATCAGCTAGTCATAATTTCAGGCAATACGTTAACAATTAAAAGCGTTGTGAGCATACCATCACATAGATTGTGGGTGACTCGGAAAAAAACAGCATCTCGATAGCAGACATTGGAAGGTAGCAGCTGTATCACTAGCAACAGAACGGTGAGTAGTTTTTTGAACAAACTACCTTTTATCTATATGTTAGATCTTCATTAACACTATAGATTTATCGCCTAATTATAAGTCTACTTTTATGAAAAATGCGTCCAGGCTCTGACGAGGATGAAGTCGTTGAGACGTCAACCATCGAGCAGCAGCAACAACAACAACAACAACAACAACAACAACAACAACAACAACAACAACAAACAACAGCAAAAAAACAACCAACAATGGCAAACAACAGTTACAAGGAAAAACAACAAACAGCAAAAACAAACAACAACAGCAAGCAACAGCAGCAAGCAACAACAACAAACAACTTATACCAGCCTTGCATTAACTCAATAAGAGAGCTTCTTAAAATATATGATTAAAGACATTGAAGAATTTTTATGTTCTATACCCATGATAGTGCCTTATTGGAGTGTGATTTTCACCCTTTTCTCGAGACCTGGTGTCGAACTCTATGTGTTCAGATCTCAGTAAGCCAAGAGGACAAAAATCCTCACAGGATGACTTGTTGAATTAACTCTCACAATTTAATGAGAAGAAACTACGACGAAGATCTCGCGTTTGGTTGTTTATTGTGCACGAATTGGTCCATCATGAGATGCATGTGAGACGCTGTTACTTGTCTTGATTTTCTTCCATCTCCAACCTACCATCCTGAAGGACATCAAAACCATCCAACAAATGCGATTATGCAGCTATCTTTGCGTCGATGAGTTAGAAATTAGAATTAGAATAAATGGTTGGTAAAAAAAAATCTAGAAACCTTCAACAAAGGAAGTGGGATGAGTGGGTCATCGAGGATAAATCCGGAACTGTAAAGTTCGAAGTAGAAGTTTGAAACAGCATGAAATCGTGGCTGGGTTAACGACATCAACGTTCAAAGTTTCAACTTGCAAAATGTGATGAAAATTAAAAAAGTACTTCCAAAATAGGTTTGTGTCAAAAAAAGACTTGAATAGAATCACAATATTCTAACCTTTATTTTGAGCTTATCTTTTTTTCATGAAAGGATATGATGTGAAATACAGCTATAGGGATGATGATGCTTCAGTGTCCTTCATGAGCCAAATCGTTTCCCGCTGATATTAAGAGTTTGCGACGTATCCTTCATACGATGGAGAACAAATTTAGATATACGAGTTTTTGGTCGAGTAAAACTTATATAATGCATATCTAATATACTAAATGTATATGAAGGACAACTTGAGGAGAAAACTCTATTGGAAACAATAAAGCAGCATGGGTAACCTGCTTGGGTAGCCCTCAATCCTCTCAAGATAGTCGCCGATCAACTAACGGGGTAAAATCATAGCGTTCACCTTCTCAATTCAAAAATTCTTTTAGGGTCTCACAGTGAGATACAAGTTCACATGATAACCACGTGAAAGATCCCAGGAAGCTCTATAGCGTTTCGAGAAATATCCCGTTTTGTTGACTCAGAAGGACAGATATAAGCAATGAAATGAAGCCAGTGCGGGTAAACCTATAGGTTAGAAGATAAATACGAACAAATGAAGCCAAAAATGATGTGAGTCGTTGTCTAAGGCTATCAGTTTCAAATTGTGCAGAAGTGCTTGTAGCTCTTTCCAGGCAGCTGTATTTTCATATCAGTGGGAGTGATAGATCATAGAAGAATAATATTAGCAGATGTCACCACAATTCTAATCGACTAGTTTCACAGTTGACGGGTCATCGAAGAAGAAAACAAGTGAAAACTGTGTCCAGGGTTCTTTTAGGCGAACTAATCAAACATACTAGCAACCCAAGAGAGTTAGTGGTAGCGCATAAACAAGTTGAGCGTGGACTTTGATGAGTGTGAAACTGAAAGCTGGCCCATCTATTATGTTTCAAACTTTGCCGTCATGATATGATAATTGAATCGTTTAACGCAACACTCGCATATTTTAACAACTGTGTTCCAAATTGTCTGCATTTGAATATGCTCTTGAATCTATTTAACATGCTATTTTGATATGAGGTGTCGTAAAGGACTCCTTTCATTTTACAACAAACTGGAAATTATCCATATTTGCCCTTGCTCTGCTTGTGAAGTAATCAGCCTGTAGCATTGCTCTATATGAGCTCCTGTGTTTTGCCGGTGCTGCACATTAAGGTATTGTTCGCTGGAGGAACGCGAATACAGCAGGTCGTTCGTTCAGAGTAGTCATGAATAAATCATTCGCATTTTTCACAAGAAAAAAGGAGAGTAGACGAACAGGAAAAGATATATTATATTCTTTATAAGGAAACGAATAAGGAGAAGTGAAA